TTACTGATCTTGTCTTTCATGATTGCTTACCTCTTGGAATTCTGCAAGCTATCCAGTCTTCAAAACGACGAGTGTTGGGACAGTTTTGATTGTTCCTTCATTCATGATTTTCTAAACGACGACACTTTGCCTAAATCTTCTCACCTTATCAGGAATGCCCATTCAGAAGTCGCTTCCAGTCCAACTTGCCTTAAACTCATTACCAAATTGTTCGATTTTCCATCACTTCAGTGGTTTTTAACCTCTTGGACTGCCTTAATCTTCTCCTCAGGAACCACTCCCACGCTCCGACTAAGCCTGTTTATCAACAATCGTATGGTTGAATGCACATCGATTAAACGTGCTTTGGAATCCTCATATTCCACGGTGCTTTCTCGTACGCTGTCATCCAGCCCAGGTACCCAGTCCATTTTACGAAGGTCCTTCGGTCCAACATCAACGGCTTTCAAACCCGGTGGTTCCCACTGTAGTCTGTTTGTATACTTAAACCTGCAGTTACCCCCTGAAAGTTTGGACGTGAATGTGCATCCTACAAAAGCCCAAGTGAATTTCCTCAATGAGGTAAGTCCAACAGTTCATCCCTCGTTTTCTCGATCTCCACCTAGGGTGGCACTTTGCACAATAATAAATCTGATGGTCGAAATTCTGAATTCAATATGAGATCGTGGTCTCAATTTTAGCAGATTCTATAAAGCAAAGTTCAAAACAGTTGAATTTCAACGGTGAAACGTCGTAATGCTGTCGACTGCTTATTTTCATTCAGTAGTTCACCAAGGTATGTTGTGTGGTCAAGGCGCTTCAGCAAGAAAACGACAACTCCACCCCGATGCCTGGAATCGATAAGCGCAGAATGCCTCCATCGGCTAGCTCTGATTCATCTTTGGATGACAATATAGGACATTATTACCACGGTTTCCAAACTCAAAGGAACTAGTTCAATGGCATCCCCTTTTTGTTTACGTAGTAGGGTTTGTAGCTCTATTACTCTGTTTTCTGTTTCTTTGTAAGAGGCAGCCGCCGAACACACGTGTTTCTGTACATTAGGAATGTGAATAGCCTATCCTTTCAATCCTTCTATCTCGGGGATTTGAAACTGTGGTACCCACAAGACGCAGGTGATTATATCGGGGGAGCGTTCGTAGGCCTCGCCGAAGGCATTGAAATTCTGATGAAATTCTTCAGTGTAGAGTATCTAGTTCTTCAGCCTTAATGCTAACTGCTGTTTGATTCGCCATACAGATTGACGTGCTATATTTCTACGCTGAGTGGTGCAAAATAGGAATCATAGAGTGTAGCACTCACGGATGTCACCGTCTTTGTGCCTCCGTTTTCCTTCTTGTCTAAAACAGTTGTTTCTTCTGAATATGAACCGCTTCTTAAGGGAACCGCTTCTTAAGGGTAACCAAACGTCTAGAGTACAGTTCAACTTGAACAGACGTTAAGTCGTCGTCACCTAATCGTTGTGTTGAGAATGGTGGAATTTTCGATCGGACGCGTTCCATCTCTGAATTGTATCTTAGTTGGTTGAATCTCACTCTCGTCACGTTTAGTCACTGGTTATTTTCGTTGCATATCATACCAACACATTCATGACTGTTTTACAATTCCCGTAGGAACAAATCGTCAATGGTCTGCAGGACGCAGTTGAGCGCTGTTTGTTGTCCTCAGCTCAAGTGCGGTCTTTCCTCACCCGTCCACTCCAACTTTCAGAAGTGAGTAACAATCGCCCTTCAGATACTTCAGTGAATGAGGAATGTGAATCAAACAGATCTTTCAAACCTCAAGAAAAGGTGCGAGTCGATGTGAAAGAACAATGTCTGGAAAAATTTGGGCTAGTTTCTAAGCATTCGCCTCAGATGGGTCATAAAACTTGGGACGGTCGTGTTTCGCAGCCCGTGAACGATCTAGTTCGGCAGAAATCCTGTCCACCATCTCCAGGAAGTCCCGATATAGAAGAAGAAGATGGGGAGCAGCCGAATAGCGAAGACGTTATAGATCATGCATCTACGACCAAAGCGTTTTCAAGGTTCGTTTGGATTTTATGCAAGACCGTACTTAACTTCTCTGTTGATCTACAGGTATCATAAATTCACACTGAAATCCATTGTAAGATCTGCTATGTGAAAGTTGGCCTAGTTTTTCTAGACTTCGGATTAGGTCACTAATAATTTCTATGGTGACATTAATGTGACTTACGCCAAGTAAAAGCGATCAAGAATTACCATGTTCAATGACTCATTTTTTCTTAAGGAGTTCTAAAGAGTGTAATCAGACTAACGCTGGCTTGATCACCAGAACCAAGTTAACAAGTTGCGATTTTAATCTATTCCGGTGCTATGGCAGTTTAAGGTACAGCTTCGTTCACGGGTCTACTGATAGAACTTGAAAACCCAACGTGATTATCAGTTCACTTTGCTTCCGATTTTACTGTCTACTGATTATCCTTCTTTTTCCGGGTTATTGTTCTTATCGTCCTTAGCTGCATTGTCCACAATTATCAGGAGTGCTTAATATAGGAATGCTCCCTCACTGAAGATACAGTAGTGGCCTATTTCACCCAATTCCCCGTAAACTTAGGTTTCTAGGTATTTCCGATCGGTGTGCCATTGAGCAACGCTTTATCCGATCGGCAAGAACTGATTCGCTCAAGATTTCTCTATTCACTACTCTTTTTATCGCTCAGCTGGGCACGCTAGCCGTACCTGCTTCTTTCTGGTCGGTTGCTAGTGTCGGGTTCCTCAGTGTAGGCAAGTTCGTCCAGTGAAAGTGATTCATCATTCAGCTGTAACACCTTTTTTTGATGCCAAGCTGCCATGCCACGAGATGTGGGATATTCTCAGTTTGCCCAAGCCCAGACAGAAGTCAAGAGGCAGAATTCGGGTTCGAACCACGGACCTTCCGGTCAGTAAATTCGTGCCCCAACCACTGAGCCATCTCGTCCCAAAGATAGTCGTTCAGCTGTAACATCCTTTCGGTGCCTAACTGTCATGCCTCCAGAAGGAAGCACGAGGGCTGAAATACTGCCAGGTTGCCCAAGCCTAGACAGGATCGAACCGCGGACGTTCCGGTCAGTAAATTCGCGCTCTAACCACTGAGCCATCTCGCTCCAGTGATGGACAGACAGATGGTTTCTGAAGTAGAACACCTTATACTATTATGCCCACACTTGATACAGTATGTAATTAATTTCGAACTTTATGGCAACCTAATACTGAGAAAAGACAGGCTGCTCTCGTCTTTTTCTTGAATATCAGGTTCAAAGAAAGCCGTTCAGATGTAGCACCCTTTCGGTATCTAACTATCATACCACCAGAAGGAAGCACGAGGGCCGGGATACTGCTCAAGCTGAGACAGGAACAGTCAAAGCCCGTGTTTATTGATGGTTGCGTATGTTGGCATGTGGCCATATGATCGATGCTACATTGATTTTTGAGTGCGAAGGGGGCCCACATGGTTTTTCAACCAGTGCGTATAGTGAACCCAACGCTTACCTGAAGCTCAAATGTCATCACATTCTTTAGGCCTTTAGGGGACAAAAAATGCCATCTCTTTCACCAATCTTTTCAAGAAATGTACTGCATTATCCTAAAATGACCCGTCGTTCACATTTTCATTCGCCTTCCGTAACCTTTTAGTTATTTTTGTCCTTCCTTTTGACAGCACTGATACCAAACAAGCAACTGACGTTTCACCTCTGACCTCGCGTCCGCTACTCAAAACCGAAACTCCGAAACGTTCTTTACATGACACATCGTTAGAGCCCCTACAATCCAGTACATCCGTCACATTTCCCCCACCACCAACCAAACGTCGCATTGTTCGCTTAAACAGTGTGCTCCAAATGCGAGAGCGAATCGCGGCTAACGCGGATGAACAGGCAAAACGCCTACTTCGGTCGTCCAAGTTCGTCGGTTTAATTGATGAGACACGTTGTCTCATCCAACACTCGACCGATTTATTGTTGGCACGGCTTGTACCTCTATCAACGGCGTTGTTTTATCAATTAATGGTGTTTAACTTCGCAAATCATGGAGAGGTGAGCTTGAGTACACTGCCCTTCGTGCTTATGTAATGTTTTGTCTTCGATTATGCAGTTAAGGAACTGGCACACTTTCCAATGAAATAACTGAAGACGAGAGAGAAAATTGTGTAGTTTGAACGACGTGTGTCAGCCACATCATTATGCCAGATGAAGGTTTCAAGATACCAAACAGGTAGTTTGGGGTTTTTCCCAATATATCTTAATCTCGGTGACAATGACGCTCTTGAATTTATTCAGTCTCCTTAACTTGAATAGACCTCTCCGTTTTTCTTTCTAGCACTCTATTCACTATTCTCCCATCATGTTCATTTTTCTATGGGGACTGACCAGAGTTTACAGTGAGCCACCATCTACACATACATGGTCGAACAAATGAAATGAAATGGATGAATAACATGGACAGCTTTGCTTCCAGATTACCTTGATTTACGAAAGATCAGGATGGATATAATGGTTTGAAGCAAACTCCTGCGTTAACTTTAGTGTCCATATGCGGAATAGCCAGTCAGTTGCAACTGGGTGTAACTACACTTTCTCGTATCTTTGCTTCGTCTATCGGTTGCAATTCCCCTTTAAAGCCCATTTTGGCCGAGCGTCCTGTGTTCTTCGTCCGTTATACGGAACAGAGTTGTCCAGTGATACTTTCAAGTTTCAGGACGTCGTAGAGTCCACATTGATTGGAATGGCTGGGGAATCGTGACGGAGAATTAAGCAATTGTGTTTAGGACTGTTTAGCGGAATATCGTTGTGTCCGGCATTTCCATCCTTTTAATGTAACTTAACGTGTTTCAGTTATTCTCCCCCGACACTGTGCACCGAGATACAAATGGTCCGGACGTCACTGCTCCAATCACCGACGACAGGAGCAAAGGATGCGGGATGAAAACGCATTTCATTTAGCTGCTTGGTAATACAGTGTCTGGGCTTCAGCTTGGAAGTGCACCTGTGATTGAGGTCGGGAAGAACTGTGACTCATTGAAGGCGAAAGCTCTACTCCATTGATTCGGCTGCATATGTAGCCGGTGCGCGCTTATCAATGTCTCAAACTACGGATGTGCACCATCTCTAAGTTCTCAACTAGAGAACTGAGAGCTATCAACCCAACCAGATTACTCGTCAAATGATACAATCATAGGGTTGAAAACTAGCAAATACACGAAGCACATGATCAGACAAAGTGAATTTTTAAGACCGCCTCGATTGATCGTTTTAGGCCTATCCTCTGCGCTTAGTAAGACACGAAGGTTACTTTCAGAAAAAAAACGAGATATCGCTATTAGTGAACACGGTATTCAACGGCTCAGCCAGGGCCACCATTTGAATATCCTCAGGATTCAGACAGGGCGGAAGTAGTGGCTGCCCTTGTTTGTGGACCTGTAGATTGGTTCGGCCACGTTTTTGATGTCACGTTATCAGTGAAAGGAAGAAGGCCTCCGCTACAGAGTTAATTACTGGAAAACACCAAATGAACAGGGATAGGGAAGCAAAATTCTCATATGCATCTTGTTTATAGAAAGTGTGTATCCGTCTTCTTCTCGAACAGATCTTCCTGACTATCACTCAAACGTAAACGAATGTCACAAAGCGATTCCACAAATTCCGTAATAAATTTCACTTTTCAATAGACGCGAAGCGGACTTATGAGAAAATCACATACTACTCGCATGCTTCATCAGTAGCATCCACCGTTACATCAGTAGCGTTGTTCCGTAATTTTAGCTGTCCTCAGTGTTCACGCATGTATTCGTATGTGTTAGTCGTAATGAGTTCATAAGCTCAGGAACAAACATCTAAACCACGTATTCCTCAACTTCTGTATATTCTACCACCAAATGGGACTTTTCCGTGTCTCAGGGCTATATTATGCTTCATCGCCAGGTGATTGTCTTACTGCTCTTGTAACTTGCCCAATCAGCACAGTGCTGAGTGAAAGCCCTGGCGCTCCCGTGTGAGACTAGGCTAGAAAAATTTCCACAAGTTCGATCGGCTTTCCCTGCTCCAAATAGTGCTAAATTTCTTTGAGTGCGCACAAACTCTTGATCAACCTGATTAAATTTTCAACAGTTCGCAGGTGGCCAGTCGGAAAGAGCTTCGAAAATTTTCTCTACTTTGCATTGTTATAAGTTCACAGTTGTTTTTAATTTGGGACCATTTTTCAAACACTGATTGCGTTTTTAAAACTTTGATGGGTTTTCGAAATTGCCTTTTGTCCGAAATTGTAGTTCGTTCGTGCTGTGCGTGTCTGACAGAGTAGGCACCTTAAGTTTACACGAACGCGTACATCGTGCACTGTGAGGATAGACAGTTGTTACTGTCTGGCCCGATCAAATGAACAACTTAAATTAGCGGCAGTGTCGGTCAGCGCTACTGCCATCTCTCTTGTCGGTTCTTCTCTGCATCCCTACTGTTTACCCTCATGGTGAAACTTCAACCTAACGGTTGGATAAGGGCGAAAAATAGGACTGTGCACAGCCGTGGTAAAACGGAGGTGTTTAGGATTGAAGCGCTTGTTGCCTGGATGGATTGTCTTAATTAGCGGGCTATTTTTGATAAAGTTGGGAGGATGCAAAATGTGACACTGTTGATATGATTCGCACCCGCACTCATCACTATAATCCGCTAAATAAGTTGATATTCTCTCCGGTTAACATCCCCATCCCTTGCTAACCACCGTCCGATCTTCCTCAAAGATGACAGTGACTGTTTGAGTTGGTGATCTTGCAGCTAGGAGATGCGTTTCATCATTTCCAGAACATGCGCCGACTGACCCAAATAGTCCCCTTTGTTGTTCTGGAAATTTGCAGCCCAAATACAGCCACTGGTTGTACTCATAAGTCCGTGTATAACATTTGCAGCTTTAAAGTTCGATCGGTCGAAGTCACCGTCACCGAGGCCATTCGTATCGATCCTCAAAATCCAGTTTTGTGCGTAAAGCTGGCCTGCGTCCTTTAGATACTCTTCGTCAGGTTTAATATTGCATGCTAACAATATGAACTGGTCCATTTAAGGTCATTCGTATCCAAACAGGAAAATGAATCTGGGCTTCTATGAAGTTGAAACACACTGCAAAGCTTCTGACTGACCACCCGTCAACCAATCAAAAAGTAGTCTTACCCCGGGTCGCTTAATGCTACATTGAAGGTTAATGTTATCGGGTAGCATCAAACGTCCTATTCATAAACGTTATTTCTCCCGTTCTGGCACTGTTTTCTTTCGGATACAAAGAGTAGTCAACTAAATTGCCCAGTTTTCTTGCGCTAGTAAGGAACATACCGCTTCCATCGGTGTACAGATACGGTCGATCTCAGTTATAGCGTCACCGCACCGCTGTCTTTTGTGACCGGCTGTCTTACCTTCTCACACTGTCAGTCTCATGATAGCCATCATCTGCCAACCAGATCGGGTTCATTCCGGTACATGCACACCACCTAATTCATTATTATCCAACATCATTGTTTGTTAACATGGTGAAAGCTAGGAACTTTGTAGTCGGTTTGGAAAGCAGCTGCCAGATATTGATGATATTGCGTCAAACCGTTCGGCTTCCGCAAACCCGCCCACTGTTTTCACCAAATGATGCTCAATATCGCCCTTTTTCAGGATTGTCTGTGCTTCAACATCTGAAATTCGCCGGCTTCAAAAGCAAAACCAGGTCTGTTCACATCGTCTTCAGTCCGCAACTTTCGGTACTTGTCTTCCGAACACTGAGCAATTAAGCCTTTTGTCAGTCAGGACCACACTGTTTCCAATTATCTCTACAGTTCCTCGAAATTTAATTTAGCTTCTGTGAAATCCTCTGGAGTCAGGTGCGCTCGTGATTATGTTGTACTGGGGATATTCGCATCAAGCTTTTTTAAATAAGGAGAGTCAGACAAACGAAAAACCCCTTATTCAACAGAGGAACTCCAATTATCTAATCTATTTCGCTCTAAAACAATGCTGCTCATATGCCGTTGCTTGAGACGCATTGATAGGAAACGATCCTTCTCTATCAACCTGTTTAATGACCTTGCTTGCTAGTCAAGCGTTAAACGTTTCTGCATCGGTTGAGTAGGCATATGTCTGACCTGAATTGTTCCCTCTAGCTGCACAGACAGAACAAGTTGCTAATTTTACGTGAGACCGTACATCTCAGCAGAGGAAGTTGCATCGTTTTTGTTTCCATTCGTAAGTCTTGCGTACATATCCACGATGGTATCTTTTTCATCATTATTAGCGCGTTAATCTTCCAACCTTAATCAATTCGATCATTCGAAACACTAAGACTGTTTTTCTGACAATTTTTGTAATCGTTTCAACTGGTTTCTAAGTTTTCGTCCTTTTCGATGCTAGGTTGAGCGTTGTACAAATTTTTTTCCGAAAAGAACACTGGTAAAGATAGTGATCCGCCTCTGTTGGAGTTCGTGTCGTCCGTTTCTGTTCAGATTATCGTAGTTTTAGGTGGTGACATGTTAGCATCCGGTCACCTCCACGTCTAATTTTTTTCGCCACACCGAGTAAACAACAATGGATTGTCAGTATTGACACTGACGACAACGATGTTAATGAGAACTCAAGTTTTCTTGCCTATTATTTGCTACATTGACCGTCACCTGATCAAAGCGGTCTTCCCTCTTCCACTCTTGTAGATGATCTTAAGTGAACCCGCTCCCGTCAAAGAACTCTTGATAATTAGTCAATCCTTCGGTCCTACTTCATTCAAGTCCGAGGATCCTTCAGCTTTCGTTCAGAATGCAATCCAAACTCTTCAAAGTAATTCGGCTATGCTATGGGACTATTTCTCGATGAAATTTGAACCAGACACCACAAATGGTGACCTCATGTTGGTCAGTCTTCCCTTACTCCTACAAAAGTATGTCGTTTGTTTTTTTTGTTGTTGTAATTTTCTGTTTTGTTTTGTTGCTTCGCTACAGAGCACAAGATAGCTCAGTGGCTAAGGAGCTGGCCTACTGACAGAAAGGTCCGTGTTTCTAACCCAGCCTCAGCATCCAGACCGTTTCTGCCGTGGCTTGGGCAACCTGGCGGTATCCAGGCCCTCGAGCTTCCTTCAGGTGTCATGGAGCTAGATACCAACCTGGTGCAGCAGCCGAACAATTATAATTTATTAGTCAGCTACAACGGCCTCTTTGAATTAATTTTACTGGATACATCAATTGTTCAGTCTGTGAAGCTATTGTAAGTTTATTTAACTACCGGAGCCCCCAAAAGGTTGTGCATTGTAGCAAAAGGAGGCAGATCGATCGAATAGTTGCATATGCGTACGGTGATAGCCGTTGTCAGGTTTGGTGCGTACTCCGAAAAGGAAAACGTCTGGAAATAATGGAGAATAGATCCGTTCCCCATAGGAGGGTGGTTTGAGAAAGCAAATGGCTCTTTTGGTACTTTGAGAATCAGATTAAAGCGTTGTTTTCTCATATCCTGCCTTGTTTGGCGTGATAGTAGCTCTGAGCTGTATCCTTGTTTGGTGGGGCGTATCCATAGAGTAAGTAAAAGAAATTACCGTACACCATTGTATCTGGATGGTAGTTCAGTGAGTCAACTTTTTCCTTCAATGAATCGCCAGCAGTCGGTATAAAATGTTAAGCGTGTTTGGATGGATTAACATCTTACGAATTATTCTGACAAGGCTTCAATCCTGTACATAGGTGAGAAACATTTTCGATTCGATAAGGCTCGCTCAACGATCTTGGCAACTTGTTTGTGCAGGGAAACGCCTAATGAAAGCATGGCCACAACAGCTGATCAGCTTTCTTGATGGAAGCCTGATCAACTCTCGAGGTAGGTACCCGGTGCTCTAGAAGTGCGAGGAAAGCTCGCTCACTCGTAACAGGTATACATGATCAGTGTCAGCAATGAATCCCGTACCACGCAACTTAGTACCTAGGGAGCCTTGACTAGCGGTTAAACCATTGTGTTGGGCTATATTAGTCGATGAAGGTTATGTTGCAGTTCAAACGATTCTTACAAAATCTTACCTTTCCCAACTTTTTGAAGTTCATGCTGCGGTCGTGATATGCAAACTCAATCAAGCAGGGTTTTCTAGTGACGTGCTCAGGCAGTCGGGTTGTGGATGCATAAATGTTTTTGAGTGATATTCCTCATCTCATCGATAATTTTACGACGGAGGGAACTCCCGCCTGATATTTGGGTTGACGTATTGAGATTGTGAGTGGATGGTAGCTTCGCCCAAAGGATTTCTTTTCAGCTTTTATATCCTTATGTATCCTCGGTTCTGTCACTCTTCTGTCATAAACACAGGTACATTCCTGATCTAACCCGCTTACCAATCTACGTTATGCGACTCGCAACGGAAGTCAACTGGGACGAGGAAATCAACTGCTTTGAAGATATATGTCGTATTACCGCCGAATTCTACGCTCCAGTCCCTAAGTTGTCTTTACTTTCAACTTCCGAAAAACTAGCCGAGGGAACTGCTAAAATTGATGATGATGTCAAAGATACTTCTTCTTCCGGGCAAACACCGGAAGTCCCCGTTCGTTGGATGATTGAACATGTTCTTTGGCCCGCTCTGTCATCGTCTTTGATTCCCGGACATGGACTTCTTTACGAGGCTCCTCCCCTTAGTCAGCTTTCCAGCCAACCACAATCCGCTTCGTCCCAGTGTGCTTTCTTTCGCCTCACCAGATTATCAGATTTGTACAAAGTATTCGAGCGCTGTTGATATTTTTTGCATATATTCGTTCCATCTTTATACTACCATGTGTTATTTTTCATTCCTTTTACGTTAAGAATAGTTTGGGTTCATTGGACTGCCACCTGTCTAGTAGATGTTCCTTTTCATCATATAAAATGCCCTGTTTCATCGGATGTGTATCCAGCTGTTCAATTGTCGAAGTCGTATGTAAACATCAGCTTTCCACCAATAACAGTCCGCCGCAAACGAACAAACAGATTCCTTCCAGGACAGAATGGACGTTCCCGTCAGCTAGGTGACTTTTGTCCAAAGGCTGACTTCGGTTTCCTTGATCGAGGTAAATAACTGTGACGGAATAGACAGTTTGTTATGCTTCGGAAAACTCAGGCAGGCCGTTTGGTATGAAATACAGGACAGCAGTCGGAATGGCTTAAAACACATTAGCTCCTATGTGCGATACAGGTGAAGTGCTCTCTGCCCTTTGGAGGAACGCACCTTGGTTAATACTTGCCATTCTTGTCTCTGTCTTCTACGGTAGGGGTCGTGAGCAATTTATGGGCACTTGGTGCTGCTAGCCGAAGCTGAGATTCGATTAGTAGACTCAAACTTGTGCATCCATTACTAAAATAGTCCTATTCATGTGTGCCACTTATCCAAATTCTGCGAAATGGATGTTCTCACTTGACGGATGTTGCTCCGCTTCCCGAAGTCTGACCGATAGCATGACCTTGAATCTTTGGATATTCACCTCGATCATAAATGTCATTTACTCGCACGTGGTAGAAGTTGCAGTATTGTATGGGAACTTCTTTCGAGGAAAAGCCCACGAGTTCAATTTTCGTTTCTTTGGGATATATCCTGACACCATTGGGAAGAGGTAGTCGGTGGTTATTATGCGAGAGGGGGGTCCCTCTGATAGTCCCAATGCGCCACGTAGGTCTCATTCTGATCTCTTCAGCTTCGAGTTTAAGGTAGGACCAGTATCGTCCGTACGAATGTTTGCACGTTCGTTTTTCCACTGTACATTCTTGTGGGAGCTGCAAGAACAAGGTAACTTGGCCTATTTACTTACTCCAGTTCACCCTCCTCCCAGGACGTTGGTGAAAACAATGCTGACGAATTGCAGACGATCGAGGTTTCTGCGCTATAATCAACATTTCAGTGAAGCTAGCCAATGGCTAAAAGCCAAGACGCACTGTACAACTGTTTTATCCACACCCGGAATCATCAACAGTGCGTAGCTTACTAATCTGAAGGATGTTTCGGATCCGCGTCCTCCTGGTTAGTAGTTGAAGAAGGAACGGCTTTGCCACGAGCGGCTGATCAGCACTGTGGCTAACACAATTAGACGGTATTCAGCGCTAATCGTCCTTCAATCGCGGAATTCTCATCACGTAGTTATGTATTGACTAGCTCCTCAAGTAACGGTTTCCCAGGGGAAGAGTTCACTACTAAAGAGAACCTAGTTTTCTGCATTGAACGTTTTATCATTCCTGAAGCTGAGAAGTGGCACGATGTTGTATTGTCCACCAAATGCTCGTGGAACCGTGAACTGAGGACATAGCCATCAGCCGTAAACACTCGTTATTCAATCAAGTAGACCTCTAATTGAGTGCATACTCTGGTTATGTCCCCAAAATCCGAATGCTTCCATCCACTGTTGTCGGATCGCTAGCCAAATTGCACAATTCGAGTAACCCTCAAGTTAATTATCAATCATAGTTATTTTCTACATTTCTGGCAAACCACTTCCACACATGCACTGTGAGGATCTGAGCACGCTGCTAAGCAAACGTGCTCAAATCACGGTAAAATATACTGCTGCAGGACTTAATTCCTTCTCCTACATATTGACGCTCTCTGTGAAACGGGAGTAGATACAGTATAGTTGGTGGGTTCGGTTTTTAACACGGTAGTCATCTAGCAGAACTGTTAGTTAAATATGAGTGGGCCTACCGCTAAGAACCCGGGATTTTCAGTGCATCGGGTCCTTCAGTTTACAGCCTAATTAAGCATCGCAGGGATGCATCGTGAAGCCTCTTCCTCAGTGCTCTAGACCTGATAAGCACGAGCAAACTATCCCACTTAGGCCAGTGAATGTCGGAGTGGGAATAGCTTGCAGTGTGGGGTTCGTCATCATCAGCTGTAGAACCATATTCTCATCGTACAGTGGTTACTGCTGCCGCAGTTTCGTTCACCGATGATTTGGATAGGTGTGGTAGATGGTTGCGTAATTGGAGACGGGAAGTGATATAATTGGTACGTAAATACGGGATTGTCAGTGAACTTTTACGTGGAATGATCAGGGTCCGATCAGAAGGTTTAAGTAGGGTGACACCCAGATCAGTTTTTCGACGGGACACTCAGTTGGTTAACGAAGACCAACGTCTGATTCACGTGTTGTCATCAATGGGCTCAGGCCCTCATGCACATTGTCAACTCTGTTGGAATTCCTGTGTATGGTAAGTCCACCATCCAGATGAGATCAGGCCAATCGACACCCAGAACAACCGGATGTGAGGACAATCAGTCAACTACATGGTCCTTCTCCACACAAGCACCTGCAGGTAAATATGGACCATAGGCTGGAACTGAACGGCAACATAGGGGTCCTAGGTCGAGTCAATTTTTCACATTGGAATCGGTACTGCAGGATTAGTAAAGCATAATTCGTACCCAGGACAATATCAGTGATGGTAGTCAGTCAATGCAGTTAATTTGTCAAACCGTGTGGAGTTTACGCACACAGGTCTAGACAGCTCAGCAGTCCTGAGTTGTCCGGTTTCCGTACTGATGACGTGTGCTCTGAAATGTGATTCTCAGTTGGACTCAACAGTTTATCCGGCGACCGTTCGTTCTTTCGTAAATATCTCTTATCGACTTCTTGCCCAGCGATTTGCCAGTCGTCTAGTCAAACTAGACAGCTTGGATCGATGAAGCATACGAACATAGGCACCCCGCCTAGACTACTATCCGGAGTGGGATGACCCCGCTCAAAATCCGGATATCGGAGTTGAAACACTGTCAGAGTGGTTCGGTTACTGGCGTGTGAAGTTGGTGTAGTTTGCTGACTAACTTAGGCCTACTAAAAAGACGTGAATTTAAAATAACGCGAACTGTGTGAACGCCACTCACTGGTATGACGAGATCTGTGTTCAATACCAACCCGAAACGGATTCAAGATCTTCATCCGAACTGATGGGAAGAGCCTTCGAAACCGGTTGATTCATGTTCACTGTGTTTGATTTCCATCTGATACGGTCATTCAGGTTTATTATGTGAAATTTAATCCTCCACAACGCTATTTCTGGCGGAAAGCTAAAAGATTGATTTCAAGAGCACCAACCAGACAGTGGTCCAAAACAAGTCGCGCGGTGGTCAGGCGATAGGATTTTGGATAATTTTATCGCTCATGTTGGCCACATTGTGCTAAAAAGAACTAAAAATAGCACATCTGGAATTCTGACTGGAATGTGGAAAACTGGAAGTAGAAATGCGGTTTTCTAATTCCCTGTCATCAGACTTGTAGGCTTTTCCCTTTCCGATAAACTGCGTCCAGAAGAAGCGTAATGCGATACTACTTAGCAATCAAGTTAATAGTATGATAGATGACAACGATTCACAAGTGACATTTTCTGAGTCTTTTCAACTTATTATCCTTATGTTTCCACGGGCATTTTGCTTCAATATTTGGGACCGTGAATACAGTAAACATCAGCGATGTTGAAGTTTCACTAAAAAAACGAAAATAACTCGAAAGGAACATTCAGTTCGAAGGGGATTCAGAAAATAGATGTTCTCTCTCATATGAGGTTTTTAGTCACTCCAATCCTACGAAAAGAATCGTTCCAGCTGTAGACCCTTTCGGTGCCTAGCTCCCACGCAATTGAGTTCCCAGCTCTCAGGAAGTCGGGTTTAATTGAAGGCCATTGCTGAACCATTAGGGAACATACATGTATAATGAGCGAGTCGCAGTGAACAATAAGCCGCACCGGTATTTTTGGGTTGTGGAAGTGCTGTGGCTCTGCTCCGATTCCCGGATTTTCTTGTAATCAGTGGGCAGGGTTTTGCTAATTACTCTGGTGAATGGGATGGAAAGTTACCTCTTCAATACGAAGAACAACTCTAGATACTGAGGAATCTCGTCTTTCGGAAGAAGGTACAGACGCTTGGTATGTGTGCCTAATAACAATGCAACTGCTTTGAAGAAATTATACGTGACACTTGGGATGGCATTCTTCACGAAAAACAGATACTTTGAGGTCAACGTCACTCAAAGTAACTACCATTGAACTTTTCAGGTACCTATTTTGTAATTCAGTATCAAACCGGATGCAAACAATTGGCCGTTTCGTGCTACTTCATGAGCTCTTTCCCTGTTGGCTGCCTGCAATTTCTGATACCAGACATGTTGGTCTTTGTTTTGGGAAAAATCCTGGTTAGACGACTGACTGCAGTGCACTGACACTTGAAATGTGATCCCTAAGGGAATGGCAAATCTGCCAAAGGGATTTATAGACGTCAAGTGCAATCGCGACATGTATCCGAAGCGTAAAACTGTCTCACTGTATATATGTCCCTTCAAGAATGTCAAAAAATCACGTACATGTCACAAGCTAAAAATGTAGTGAAATTCTGTTGGACTTATAGTCAGCATGTCATTGGAACACTAATCACCATGTCAGGTTTAGACAGACATGTCCACCTAATCAAAGTTTGTGTGTATTTGGATCGTTAGAGTGTAGAGAGAGAAGGAATTGTCGATGAGCATGGTGGGCAACAGTCTGAAGACTAGTGCACTAAATACGTCCATGCTGGATCACGCATGATGCCAGATGTGCTCGTCATAATCGGGTTGCAAGGGAACTTGCAAAACGTCTCCGTCGACTGGGGTACACCGTCTTCGAGGAGTTGAGAGCCCCTACTTCTACGTCGTTCATCAAACCTGACCTAATCGCTGTTCGAGATCGCCGTGCAACTGTAATAGACGTTAGCATAGTCTCGGATGGGCGTGGAGAGATAGTGTG